TGGAGTCCGTGGATCCGGTCGGGGTGGCATGTCAAGACGAACTGCTTAGCTTTGTCAGGTACTGCGTCTACGCCCACTGTCTGGCACCCTGACTTCGGCCCTCAATAGATGGGCAGTGAAAGTGGGAGGGGAGCGAAGTAGCTGCATCGCAAGTGCCTGGCACAACAAACTAATTTAGGGGGAAACAACTCCTGCGTCCATCTCGTGTGACGGCGGTGGCCATCGGAGGTGACGATCGAATTACTGTGTAGGGGAATAATCTAGAATCCCGGTGTGCTGCATCAGTGCGTTGGGTGGAGATGTTCACTTAGACCCCACGTTACTTCGGCCTCTACACCCAAGCTGCGGCTGAATCTCTTGGTTGATCGGAGGGCCAAAACCCAACGGATCCGTAGGCTGAGTGCTGAATATTAGGGGTCGTGGACAAACTAACCTAATGTAGTGAAAAGGTGGTTTCCATGGGACGTTTCAAAAGAAGGACATTCACAGAAAGAGGCTTTATTTTTGGTCCTACGTTTCAAGATGTGGTTTCGGCTACCCATCCTCAGAGGCAGAAAGTTCCCGTGCATACATAGCTCCAGTTGTGTGGCGCGATTTACCTGATGCGTAGGTTGTCAATACCGGCCATGTGAAAGGATTACAAACTTTTGGAAGACTATACTGCCAGGGTTCTTAGGCAAAAACACGCTAAAGATTTGGGAGTTACCTAACGATATTAACTGGCAGATCGTGGCATCGTGCTTGCGCGCTTAAAAATTACTTAAGTACCCCCACCCGACAGTGTTTTACACGGTGCCTAATCACTACTGAAATATAAGAATTCATATAATGAACTTCGTATTTATATGACTTCTACGTGTTTTCATTCGGTAGTTTGGGGTATTTCGGTGAGTACGTCAAAATTGGTGTGACAAAGTGTAATAAACCTGACGTTGCCGAAGTTTGCGCCTGATTATTGACTTACGAAAATGGTTCTTATGAGGGTATGTCCACCTTATTCAGTGTACGTCTTATACCCACAAGAAATAAACGCAGAAACTCCATATGACAACATAATTGGGGCTTACGAAATTTGATCATCGTGGGGTATACTCACGAGGTCAAGGTACAGGGCCTAAACGATTAACAGGTTAGCAATAGGTGCATAGTTTATAAATGTGAGTGATACTGAGAAGAGATTAAAAGAAGTTATTTCTGTGACACCCCTCTTATAAACATTATGGGCAGCATTCTACAGCAGTACAGGACTGCTGTTGGGAGTTATCAACTTCACGGAATACAATGTGGCTATATGACTTACAAAAGTATACAATGCTGCGAACACTTCGCGGGACTCAGGGTAGAACTACAATCGATATTTCACCTCAGCTAAGTGTGCCCGTACGGTTTTTGAACTCAGTGGCCTGCATTTTAAAAGTACGCTTTAGACGGCTACAACAAGCTTCAATGACACTGGTGTGTTTACCTACAGTGGGATCATTCACACGTTACTGTTATGTCATTCGTAGTCGCCCACTTTCTTATGATCGGGCTTAACGCCGACCAGCCTTTTAAGGTCACTTGTTTAAATGAGGCCTTTTTGAGAAGTTTCGTGAATACCGACCACTCAGTTCTGTCGTTTGTGTCCACCTCCTTCGTAGTTCTGCCTATCGAGCTACCTAACTTCACTTAGACTCTCGGCCCATAAAGTCAGCGTACTGCGCGCGTAAGTGCGATGTTGCAGACGTTTCGCACAAGCCGTACAGTTCATTTGCTGAATGTTAGCTGTCCCACTATGGGCGCACACTTGCCAACAGGCAAGTCGGAGGATGACTCTCATAACTGATGAGACTAGTATAGAGCTTCATGGAAAGCAGGAACGGTCCTTTTAACTTGGTCCTTTTACAGTACAGGTGTCGGAGTAGAGCACCATCTCTGCTAAGCTGTCGGGTTTATTCATTGAGGTTTCTTCCACGGTGACAAATTAGGCAATAAGCTAGGACACCTTTCCACCGGCAGTGCTCTACTAGTTCGTATCGATGTAGTGGACAAGACGGACAAGAGCGCCGTTACAAGAACACCACGAAGACCATTTCAAAGCAGTTTCAAATCAACCCTGAGACCTAGGAGGACCTTGGCAAAGATCATCAAACGTGGCGCACCGTCGTAAGAGTTTGAGCAGTCATCCTCTAAGCCAACCAAGTGGGCGCTGTCAAAATACAACCAGAATCCGGCAAAACTCACGCACCACGGGCTAGCACCGCAAACGTCCAACCGCTGCCATCGTGTTCACACTGGCATTAATCGGTCTCACTGGACATCTCCAAACACAGTTTGGCGAACCGGTCGCCCATCTCGCAAAATTCCATCACATCACCACCACAAGCACCACCACAAGCACCACCACCACCACCACCACCACCACCACCACCACCACCACCACCACCACCACCACCACCACCACCACTACCACTACCACATCTCCTTTGGCACATGAAGTGTGGACCAGGTAGCATGCGTGGCAAGCGTAGACGAGCAGTCCAGTCGTGTCAGTCACCGCGCCCAATCCGACCACCAGCTGGCAAAGATGCCCAGACAGTCAACTAGTGCATGGGGAAGGGACGTTGAAATGAGGCCGGCACTAGGTAACCTACCTTCATGGCAAATACTCACATTCCAAATGGCTGCCAACTGGTGATATGACTCGATCCTTTCATGACTGAGGGAGAGGGGGGCTATACTGACTTCTTCTCAGGGAGTCCTCTCATATGTGACATCAAGCCACACCACATTATCCTCTTGCATTTGGAGTGAGACCAACTCGAGTGTGGCACATGCGGCCTGCATGTGAACCATTGTGACCGCGCCCATCTGCGGTTGTATTTACTTGGTCTTGCCATCAAAGCAAGATATGTGGAGTAAGAGAAAGAGCGGTTGGTGTCGCGCAAGTCAACCTTACTGGGCGTTTAACCGTCGATTTTGACTATGCCCACCGTGTGATCCACAGCAGGGTGAGAGCAGGGATGGGACCCTGCGCGTAAATTCGTTTATACTGATAGTAGATTTGCGTAGCATCCATTGCACTCTCTCCTCCCCACCTGAGCCCGATGTCAGGACAGAGCCGAGGGGACCGGAGGCGGGAGAGAGCGCAGGGAGGCTAACACGGTGAAAAATCGCACCTAGGTGTACCATCACAGCGTTTGCTTCACAACGCACACTGGCCGAGATTTTATACCACACCAAAAATAGAGAGACAGTACGAATCCCAGTTGGCGCGACGTGGACCGGCAACTGGGCTTGCCACCCTACCCCAATACTGGCATTTTTATGGGTGCACATTCCGGATAACACCTGTTGGACTCCGATCTAGCTCCTGCGTTGATCCAACGGACCTACCATTTGGCCCACTTTAGGGTCAGAGTCTACCTTACTGTAAGCCAATTCACGCACAGGTCACCGTGACTGCTTCTATTTTGCAGGACACGCCATGGACGTCGTCCCTTGCAACGATCATACCTTTGTGCATTTTGGAATCTGGGTTTGAAAATTTTCAGGGGCTGTTTTCGGCAATTATAGCTTTCTGTGTTTGTTCGAGCTCGATAGTACGCCACACAAGGCCTGTGATGTGATTCAGCATCTATTCGATACCACCTTGCTACAAGAGAGGGTGGGGCGACCACTTTCAAATATACTTTCCTGTTAATTTATTTCGCTTCGATATAAAGATATTCCATTTGCAATCCAGGTTCAGTTCCTGCCGACTGGATTTTCGGGTGCTTTCACAGGTGGACTCATAAGTAGCCGGTTTTCACCTTGCATACTTTCCAAACATGCGGCCGAATAGGTCTGTTAATTATAACAGTATCTTGTAGATCACTTTTATCCATTTTTAAAAGCCACTTGAAGCACCCCTTCTGGTTTAATCGGCCCCGATCCCATTCCAAGGGAGAGAATGAAGAGAAGCTCTTTATGATCAGCGTGGAATTCTAGGAAATGTCATTTCAGTTGCCAATAAATGGGAGGCTTATTTCACATAGTCTGCTTCTCATTACTGCTCTTGCCATCAGACCATCACGGACATTTTCGCGGTCAAACAAATCGTCATCATTTTTTGTGCAATGGTGCTGAAGTAGCAGACTTGGGTGAAATTTGGCTGAAATATTTAGCTGACTATCATGCTAGTGATCAGGTCTTTGAGTGCATGTGCATGCCTAAATCGGAGCATGAGCAAGAAAAGTAAGTCGGACTCAATTACTTGCATCAGATCTTGAGCAGCCTTTGATGATCGATAAGACTGGTTTCGGGGAATCCGCGAATTTACAGTAATTCTGTCTCCAAAGGTTTTTGTCTGTTCTTAAAAGTCAACCAGCCCTCAAGCGTCTTAGGACGGCCGGCATATCTCAGGTTTGCCCAGGTTTGCTTGTAAATTCATGAGGTGATCTCGTGTCAAGGAACACGAGAATTTGGTTTTTAACTAGTTCTTGCAGACTGTAACTTAGAGACAACCTGGGGTCACAGGCGTTTTGTCCCTTTCCCCACACTGACTGTTAGGTTTCACTTCCGAACTCTCGATGTTCGCGCACATTTATGTGCTAGCGACGGAACATCGTAAAAGTCAATGTTTTGGATATGTCACCAAAACGAACCCCCTCGTGTTTGTTTACTTTGTTTGCAAGTTGCAGTGCTTTGGTGAGGATGTGGAGCGCAGCCCTACTTGGTAAGTTATTTAGGGACCCATTGAAGTTCCCTTTGTGCCAAAGTCAACCCTTAAACGTGTCCACTATGTGCGCTGTTGGCAAAAAGGGTTCCCATCACAAGTGGGCCGAAAGCAGTGGTCACCCTTACCTGTTCAGAGTCTAGTGACGGTCAGGCCTCATTGGACAAATAAAACACAGAATAACGGTTTTCGGATATTCCTGTCTGTCCCCCAATAGCTCTTCGTTGAATGCAAGAGCAGAAACCTTATTCAACTAGTCATAGGATGTTTTTCTAAAATAGGGGATGCTAAGTCGTTTGCCGGAAGCTCCCTACCCTCTTGGTCTTCACGTACGGCGACCACAACATCAATTCTTCTTGACGTTCCTTCAGTTAGCCCACCAACTGTTGCAGAAAACGGGACTTCATGAGGCGGGGAGGGTTGTGGCCGTCTGAGTTTCAGCTATACTCAATTCCAAGAAAGATTACTGTAGGAGTTAGCCTTATAAATCGGCCGAGCCAAAAGCGTGAATGGGCGTCAGCCGCTTTCTACAGCTTAAGTAAGAATGCGTACACAGAGGCGTGTCACTGCCACCCCAGAGGATGACCAACAGGTCCCCTCCACGGTAATTTGTCCCATTCAGCTACCACCCGACTTTAGTGTCCTGGATTAGGAAATCTCTCCATCCCCCCTGTGATACAAGTGACTACGCTAAATTCGAGAAAGAGTATATACAGTAGGTGGGCTAACTCATGAAATGTCAGGCGAAATTCGAAATGTGTTTTCGTTTCGAAAAAATTAATTAAATAGGGTTGTAAATCGTGCAGCATAATTCTATAATAATTCAGTTACCGTAGGATGTCGGCTTTCGAACGAACTTCTTTCCCACTGCATGCAAAAAACCACACTCTGCAAAAATGACTACTTTAGTAGCATGCATTTTTCTCATTGATTGACGATACCCTTAGAAGTTTAATTATATTTCATGGAAAACATGCATATAAATATTCATCCTTTCACTTATTAGGTAGTAAATTGCGTCTACTTCCCATTTTATACTCGAACAAAGGGTAAAATTTTGTTTCCAAAAACTCTTCCAGTTCCTCAGTAATTTTCAACCCGACCTGCCGTTACACCTGCATTCAGGGTTTGCAAACTACAAACCATATATTTTCTGCGTACAGAAAGCCATACATTTCTCCACGGTACTAAGAGGAGAGTATTTGGGGTTCATAAAATTTGGCAGTGGATTTGAGCCATATTGTTAGTTTTACAAGCAACGTTAGTAAATACAGTGACACGATGTTTTGTGAATGGGCGTTTTACGTTATTAAAAACGTTTTTAAAAACGGAACTATACTCATCCTTCGAGTATAAAATTGGAAAAAGACGTAATTTTCTGCCGAATGTGTAAAAGAATGAATATTGTTATGAAAGTTTTCCATGAAATTTAATTAAATTTTTGAAGGCATCGAAAAGCAATGAGAAAAATCCATGATAACTAAGTAGTCCTTTATCACAGAGTGTGGTTTTTGCATGCTGCCGTAAAGAAGTTCGTTCGAAAGCCGGCATCCTAAGGTAACTGGATTATTATAGAATAATGCTACTTGGGGATTAGTTTGACAACCCTGCTTAAGTAATCATTTCGAAACCAAAACGCATTTCCGAATTTCGTTTGACATTTCATGAGTTATCTTCCTACGGTATTTTTCGTGTCCGAACCCCCTTTTAACCCTAACCTTGTCCCATATATCCCTATAATTGAGCAAAATATCACCTGTATTACAGGGAAGTCATATTATTCCCGTGTTCTACCGACCAGGTTTCAAATTCTGGTGAGGTTACCTATATCGAAGTTGAAATTTCGCCAGCACTTGACCTGCTAACTTGAAGTAAAGTCTTATAGACAAGCGTCTTCGGGTGCAGCCTAAATTTTTAGGAATATTTGAATTGAATCGCATCAGTTGCATGGTTGCAAATTCACGATTAAGATCTATAAGTAATGAGAAATCAGACCACGCTCCCAATAGGCATACTATCTAGAAGCCTAGAGACACGTTTCATCTATTTTCTGCTGTTAGAAGGGGCACTAATGGGGGGGCGTATGGAGGGTAGTTCGGTTAATCTGTAGCCCCCCAGCAGTCTCATCGTTTCTTAAGCGGAACATATAGGGTCTGCTGTTTGTACGAATAGTCCTCAACACATGGAAACCGAGTCAGCAATCTCTGGGCCTGTCTACTTACTTTGAGTAAATCAAACAACCTGTCAGTCCTTCCATAGAATTTCACTGAGGAAGGAAGGCCTAAAAAGTTCCGGT